AAACTATAAAGATCTTTTACCTCTTTGGGTAGATTATTTCGTAGATATTTAATTTTGTGTGTAGTTATTGTAAATAGAAATGCTTTCTTGATTTCTTTTTTCAGATAAGTTGCTATTGGCATATAGAAATGTTTGTTGATTTTTGCAAATAGAAAACTATTTAGAACTTTGCTGAAGTCATTTATGTTCTAATAATTTTTTTTTTTTTTTGGTGGAGTCTTTGGAAGTTTCTACATCTGCAAGGAGTGACAATTTGACTTCTTTTTTCCAATTTGGATGCCACTATTGCTTTCTCTTGCCTGATGCTCTGGTACTTTATAAATAAATAAAAGGGTTAAAAGTTTGCATACTTGTCCTGTTACAGATCTTAAATAGAAAGCTTTCAGCTTTTACCTATTTGGAAGGATCTTAGCTGTGGGTATGCTTACCCTGATTTGAACATTATGCAATCTATACATATACTGAATCATCATATAGTACCCCATAAATATGTATAATATTTATACGTCAGTTACAAACAAAAAAAAAAAAAGAAAGAAAGAAAGAAAAGAAAAAAGAAAGAAGATTCGTGGTTCCAAAATACTCCAAGCCCCTAAATTCCTTTTTGTCAATTCAGAAGATTCTAGAGCAAAAATAAAGTAAAACAAAAGAACTCTGTTTCCTTCCTTCCCCACACCATTTTTGAGAAACCCATCAATTTGTTGCTCCATACATTTACTTATGATTTTGCTGACTTTAGCCTGGGGATTCTGGTGTCAGGCTATTTAAGTGGAAATCCCAACTTGTCCATTATCTGTGTGATGATCCATTTCAAACCTCTCTTTGTCTCAGTGTCACCATTTAAAAAATAATGATTGCATTTACCTATAGTGCTGTTGTGAAAGTTTTAAAAAATATCAACCATAAGTTATTTGCAACAGTACCTGCATTTAATAAATAGCTTATTGCTATTAATTTTTCATAAAATTTATTTATAAGAAGAGAAAATTAAATAATCAATTATCATATTGGCTTTCTCTTTGAGTGATTCCATGATTTTATTTTAAACACAAGATTAGAAAGAATAAATAAAAGATACAGGTCATGGTTAATTAAATCATGGATGACATAGTAATTTAGGGTTGCAGTTTCTTTGCCTGGCAGAGATAAGTTAATGGCATCCTAAGCCATACCACATGAGCCACACAATTCAAGCAAAATCTGCATAGCACACACAGATTCAAGACAAATATCAGTCTCCCCACTTCCTAGAATACCATGTTTTCCAGAATATCAAGCTTATCCTATATAGAACATTTGAAAATATCATTGTAGATGTATCAGGGTTGGTGTGCTTTGCCCAAAGTTGAATATCGCCTCTCACTGTGGAGACTGCAGCTACTTTGATTTAAACCACAGACTTAATAAAATGCTGGGAACACAAATATTTAGGGAGGGACTGCCTCAGAGAATGATGTCCTACCTGCATAATGACTGTCTTTGCTCCTGCAAATGTGTCTTGGTACAGGAGGGTCCGATTAACAATTACATATCCTGAAGTAGACAAATGGCTTCCAAATTCTGTAACCTGAGCATTTTAAAATAGTCAAGATTTAATCAGTTTTATTATGGAAGTACATAATAATAAATACTAATGGGTGCGCACACACACACACACATATGGAGAGAGTGAGGTCATTATTATGGCTAGTGTCCATTCTATTTTGCTTTGGAATAGTGATTTTTAGTGAAATTAGCAGTGTTCTTAGGTGAAAAGTTAGGGGTTTAGCTCCTCTTTGCTATATGTGCCATGGTAGCTCATCTTTTCTTGCTTATGAAAGGCTTGATATTTTGTCCTCACACTAAAGACAACTCCCATGTTGTTTCAGGAAAACACAAATCAATAAGATACAAAGTACTTGTTTGAAAGTGAAGGTGAAGTCCAGATTCAATGATCTAAACTGTGGAAAACCAATAATTGACTAATAATATTGAATGTGTCTTTTGAAACATAAAATGGCATTTATTTGCTGATTTTAAAAAAGAAGTATGTGTTGGTGAACCTCTGACTTATACCTCAAATTTGAAGATGAGAGACTCTATCTCTATGCCCTGCACTTAGTAATACTCCAGCATGCTAAGAAAGAAGGCTGGGGCAAAGTGTGGTAACAGTAAAAGCCGAGGGAAACTAATTGACAAATAATTATGCAGGGGACAAGGAGAGGCAACCGGTGCTGAGTATATGAAATAGCAAGAAGAGGATGTCCCCACAGGATTGTGGAGTGGAACCTGTATTTATAATCAGGTCTCAATCCAACCTAGGTTGTAATTTTTTTAAGTTTCATATTTTCATTCTAGAAACTCTAAAAGAGCATAGCCATTCTATTTATAAACACACTGGCTATTTTGGAAATATCTATATAAAGGAAATGAAGTAGCAAATGAATTCACTGATTATCTTTGTATTTTGATTCTGAAATCTTATCATTTGTTTTTTCAAATAAAGTATTTCAGAAACTGGGGGTATAGCTTAGTGGTAGAGTGCTTGTATAATATGCACAAGTCCCTGGGTTTATCCCCAGCACCATTAAAATATTTTTTTTCTTTCTCCTTACCTTCTTTAGCAAATAAAAATATATTTTAATTCACTCAAATCGATTTGAATTTGAAACATATAACATAATGAACATCGAGGATGCTCTAAAATCTATGGGTGAGACACATAGTTACAAATAAGGATTTTCAAGAATAAAAGTGAAGGTATGGCATTTAATAAATATGTACCACCAAAACTCTGTAGCCTATTCCCCTGATAGGGTGAGAATATAGAAGAGGAGAAATTAATTGAAAATTTTGCATTTTTGTAGGTAGTGGTTTTGAATAAAACATACATGTATTTAAATGTGTTGCCAAGATGTGACTCTCACACTTCAGAGTTCCTTTTACTTGCTCTTGCAAATTGCTTCTCTAAAGTAATTTTCCTTAGCAAATAATGTCAACAGTTCACAAAAATTTCCAGAATTTAGGGAAATATTTACATATAGTTGACCTGGACATAAATTTACATAGATGTAGACCCATGGTTGAATGGGGTAAGTGAATCACATCAATTCTGATCCAAGCAAGAAGCTCTTACCAGTACGTTTTGCACAGCCTCTTCAGGTGTTCCCTGCTCCCTCCTTACGGGCTGTGTGTGATTGATTATGTTCTCATTAGACTGTTCAAATGACAGTTCAACTTTCTTTTGTGTAAAGACAAAACGTCTTTCTTTACAGATGAAGAGGTCATTGCGTAAGTGCATGAAAATGGTTTGCATTACATTTTTGGAGTCACATTAGCTCTTTGATATATTAATGAATCTGGTTAGCATCACATAATAGTACCAACGTTTGCCTTTTGTGTCTCACTCCCTCAAAAGGGAATTTTCCAAAAAGTGTATTTTGAGTGCCTCAGGTTTAAAGAAAATTTCACAGCAATGATGACCATTGGTTAAAACTATTGAGAAGACTAATGATTTAAAGTCTACTGAAATAAGAAATTTAAGAAATACAGTAGTTATCAAAATCCATATTCCAATTAATTAGAAATTTTTTTGTAAAACAGCAGTAGAAAATGAGAAGAAACTTTCTTTTCATTGTACAAGGAGTAAAATCTATCTATCTATCTATCTATCTATCTATCTATCTATCTATCATCTATCTATCTATCTATTTATTTGGCGGGGGGGATACCAGGGATTGAATCCGGGAGCACTCGGCCACTGAGCCACATCCCCAGCCCTATTTTGTGTGTTATTTAGAGACAGGGTCTCACTTAGCACCTGGCTGTTGCTGAGGCTGGCTTTGAACATGTGATTCTCCCGTGTCAGCCTCACGAGCCGCTGGGATTACAGGCGTGCTTTTAATTGAGTTGAAAATTGGTGCCCAATTCTTATTAGTTCCAGAATTTCACACTGAATTTCTTGAGTCAATCCCTTGCTTATAGCTCATTCCTAATTTTTTCATCCGTTTTAAGTGACATTTTACTTGTTTTGTTTTTGTAGTGCTGGGGATCAAACACCAGAGTCTTAGACATGCTAGGCAGGTACTTACCATTGAGTCACATCCCAGCCAATGAGACCTGGTTTTTAACACTGCCACTACAATCACTCTTTCTGCCTAAGCTAACTACTACTTAACCCTCATATAACAGATGAGATAATTGAGCCTTAGGCTAGTTAAGAGAGTTAACTAATTCAATCTAAGTCGGTGTTAATTTTTTGCCATTATATCGCTTCAATAGATACCCTGCACACATATCTTTGGTCACTCTTCTTATTTTCCCCCAGGATAATTTTCTAGATTTGGAAGTGCTGAATCCAGGAGTACACACAGTTTTTTTGGTTTTATGTTTTAATACTGGTAGCAGCAATGCCCAAGGGGGGAAATAAAGCAATGACACGAGCCTGAAAATTTGTGTCACTGATTGCCATCAGAGTTGGCCCCRCATTTCCCATCAAAATCTATCATGTTTTTCCCCTTGTCAAAAGGAACCTTGCCTAGGCCTTAGAAAGGGAATGCACCTTAGCCTGGGAGATTTTTCTCCCAATTGCAGGCAACAATGGCCATGACTTGAACATGCCTGAGCCCTTTCTTGGAGAAGGGAGAAGAGGTGAAAGGTGACTACTGCAGAGGACATGTGACAATGGCTGTTTGTCCTTACTTTGAGGCTTCACTGTGAATGGAACTTTAAACCAAGCGCTGTTTTACTCCAAGCCTCTCTTCAGATTCCTTGGAAATGTCCCTATCTGCTTCTGCCCAGAAGCGGCTTTAAAATTGACCCAGACTTGAACCAAACAGTAGCCTTTTGTTAGCATCCCTCAACAACATGTCAAACCCTGTTCTTTGAGAAAGTTAAATAAACTTTTGTGCTGAGAGGATCCCAAATGTTAAATTTAAAATGAGAGTGAACTTCCATCCCTTAGTCACTTGAAATGAATTACTAACCCCAATGATAATAGGGCCTTTTTTTTTTTTTAACAGTTGGAGGTATCTATACTGTGATTCAGACAAAGGCCAAAACAACAGCAGATGAATGGGGAGAAAATTATTTTCTGATAGGTCCATATTTTGAGCATAACGTGAAGACTCAGGTGGAACAATGTGAACCCATGAATGACGCTGTCAGAAAAGCTGTGGATGCAATGAACCAACACGGCTGCCAGGTAAAGGACTGACATTGAACCTCACAACTCTCAGTAAACTGTTATGGGAAACAGGACGAAAATTTCAGCAACTCCTAGGAGAAGACCCTCCACCTACTTAGGGAAAAGAGAGGGTTTGTGAGAAGGTTGATGAACTTGGTCTTGAATAGATTGCACTTGAGACACCTCATGAAGACCAAGGTGAACTGTCTAACAGGGCAATGGATTTGGAGTTCTGCAGAAGGTAAAGGGTAGAGATGGTTTTGAGGAAGTTATTTGTATTTAAAGTGTGAAGTCAGTGATGTTAAACAAAGTGTTCAGTGGAAGTTTATAGACAAAGAGCAAAAGTTTTGAGCCAAATCTCAGGAAATGTCAATATGTTAGAGCATTCTTTAAAAATGAGCCAGAGATTGTAAGCATAGAAACAACGTTACAAGGATCTCCTAATCCTCAGAACCTCTGAATATGTTACCTTACCTAAAAAAAGGGACTTTGTAGATATGGCTGAGTTAAGGAAGTTGAAATGGGCAATAATCCTGAATTATCGGAGTGAGTTTAGTGTAAGTATAGGAGACCTCAGAAGAGGGAGGCAGTAGAATTAGAATTGCAGAAGTGTTGACTATGGAAGGAGAGGGTGGAGTGATGTACTTTGAAGAAAGAGGAAGAGGCCACAATGAACATAGGTGGCCTTTAGAATCAGGAAAAGGCAAGATAACATATTCTCTCCTAGAGACTCCAGATTGAAGGCAGCGTCTGCCAACTTTGTCCTGTAATGTTGACTTTGTCCTGTAATACCTGTTTTGGATGACTGACCTCCATACCTGTAAGATAATAAATTTGTGCTGTTTTAAGTCACTAGGTTTGTGGTTCTTCATTACAACGGCAATAGGAATAATGATGTTAAGACAAGGGAGGAGAAAGTTTCAAGTATGAAAAAAGGATTAAGGTAACAAATGATTGAGCAAAGGTCAACTGGGTTGGGAGATATTCAGGTTATTGGTAGCATTGCTGAATACAGGTGTTTTTTTTTTTTTAGGAGAAGGAGAAGTTAAATCAGATAGCAATGGGTTAAGAAATGAATGAGTGGTGAGAAAAAGGGTATAGAAGTTATAGCTGTGAGATTTTTCTTTGAAAGGGGAAAGATAATAGTTTCAGATAACATGGTTTTGAGAATTGATGTCTTATTAAATATGGGTGAAACCTGAGCATATTTATATGCCAAAACGAAATGTACTAAGATAGGGAGAAGTTGCAAGGTCAGAATAAATACATGATTRAAGAGAGTAAGGTTAATGAGAATGGTAGGAAAAAACATGATCCAAAGCAATATTGAAAGAATTGTTCTTCACCCTTTTCACTTAAACAGGAAATAAAATATGAATGCAAAGAGTTGACTCAGGCTTATCTCACTCAATATTTTCAATGATCTTACTAAAGTAGGAGTTAAAGGTCATCTTGTAAGAACTGGAGGCAARCGTTGAAATAAGAGAACTTGAAGGAAGAAGTACTGAAAAAATATGTAAGGAATATATAAGAATTTCTAGATATCTTTGAAGTGTAGTCAGAACTTTTTACTAAAACAAATGTATTTGACAGTGATTATTTGTAGCAGAAACCAGCAGCCTGAGTGAAAGAGTGGGGAGTTGAATAGATGGAGATCCAATGTTGTTTGATTTCAGGGTTCATATAAAAGGCAAAGCAGCACAGTGTTGGAGGTAATTGTGAGAGGGATTGGATTGATGTGCCTTGGTATCTAAATGGACAGGAAAGGAGGTGATAATGTAGGAACAGATGGAGGATTCCAGGAACTGAACGTTTTAAAGAAAAAAGAATACATACACCAGGAGACACACTGAGAGAAATAGAATTGTAGAAGTTGTGTAGTAATAGGGTGCTGGAGTGGAATGTTTCAGAGCAGCAACAGTTCAGGTTGACAAGGGTAAGACCATAGCCATGAACCTAGGTGGCTGGAACCAGATGTACATGAAGTTCTTTGATTTCTACAAGATCAAGCAACTATGGAGTAAATGTGTATGTTAAGAAACTTGAGATATTGCCTAGGATAAGGTAAAAAAGAAACTAGAAAAAGTAAAAGTAATTATGTTTGGATAGCATATGCAAATAAAGAAGAAGGCTTTAAATGTTTCAGAGCAGTTAAAAAAAATAACTTTCCCTCTTACTTACTTATTTCCCAAGAAATACAGTTTCTGGAGATGAAAAAAAATGAGAAGTCCTCACTTGAGGGGTCTGTACATAGTGGTGTCTAGGAGGTACATGCAGTTTAAGAAGCACAGTATGTAATTAACGAAGGAACTGGAGGTCCCAGAAGCACTAGGAGAGAAAATAGCACAGAGAATGTGAGGGAAGTGACAGAAGGGTGCATGCTGTACTATTGGGATAAAAGTAAGGGTTTTTCCAAGGCAGAGGAAGATGAGAAGAACTTTGGACTGACTGGTCTCATGATTCGAAATCCAGGCCATATTCTCCTCAAACAGCTGGGCCAGAGATTCCAGCAGCCTCAAAACTCTATGTGCTTATCTAACCTGCTTCTTTGTTTGTAACGGCCCCTAGGAAATTRGAAAGCATCAAGTCCCAATCCTTATTGCCTGGAGAGAGGTGGAATAGAAGCCAGTTCCTTAGCATGCAGCTAAAGGGGTTGGGATATTAGAAGTGCATTTCGGTTCCTTTTGACAAAGGTATTGAAAATTCAATCCTGAAAGGAAAGAGTGGCATGATGAATACTAAATTACAATGGAAGCAACTTAAATGAGGTCTTTCAAGGTTGGTCAAAGTTTGGATAGGGTAGAGACATCACCACACATGCCTGAGTCCCATAAGAGTAAGTGAGAATTAAATTGAGCTTCCAGGCTCTGCAAAATTTAGCTTTGGTTGAGTGCCAAGGGTAAAGGTGTAAACAATGTGGATACATTCAGATTTCCAGAGAGGTTTGGCTATGCAATGAAAGAGACTAATCTTAGTCTCTCTGAGTTCTAGAAAGGAGTTGAAGTAAGTGGCTTATAATGTTGCATATTATCTACTAGGATAATATACATAAAATAAAAATCAAGGTAAAAGAACAAGCAAATTACTATAGAAATATAGAGACCAAAGGGAAGTTGAAGCTTTGATACACAAGTGACTAATATCAATACAACTGGAAAAATAACTGAGATAATTAATGCATTAAAATTTGCTTGAGATAAAATAGGAATCAAAAAAGTCAATTTGAAGACTAACAGGATTAGACTTTCARCTGCTAGAAAAAAGAGATAATGTATCTTTGGCAAAATATTTAGTTAAGATGTCTGGCAGAAACATAATTAGGAAACATTTTGGGTCACATCTTTTTAAATAGGAGTAGTAAGATAGATCATACACATTTGTCTACAGAAGCAGCTTCTTTTGTAGTTGGAAGTATTGTAAATCCTGTTTCATACAGGGAATTACACAATACAATGACTGTTACATTCAGCTCCAGATTGTTAAAGATACAGAGCATTTCATCTGTGACTGTATCACAAAAGCATAGACTATAATGCTAAATCCTCTTTGTATAAGCTCAAGGAACCAGGAGGGTAAGGAGTGACAAATGAACAAAAGTTATGCTATCTAGATACATTGTTCTTAAATGACCAAATTTAACAAAGATCAGAAAGTGGATATTGAATAGGAATGGATGTGAGTCCACTTTAGCTAGGTACAAACCTCAGATGTCATCAAAACTCTTCTCTATGTAGCATGCCTAATCTGCTATTGAGCTCCAAATAAAGTTTGCATCCTCTATGCTAATATACATTTTCTTCTCTTGTATTATTTAACGTTATTATGTGGCTATATGTTCTCTACACAACAGGTGCATTTTGGAAGATGGCTGATAGAAGGGAGTCCTTATGTGGTGCTCTTTGACATAGGCTACTCAGCTTGGAATCTGGACAGGTGGAAGGGTGACTTTTGGGAAGCATGCAATGTCGGCATCCCTTATAATGACCGAGAAGCCAACGATATGCTCATATTTGGATCTTTAACTGCCTGGTTCTTAAAAGAGGTACAGTTTACCATATAATAATAAGACAGAGGAGTGGCACAACTGCAGTCAGTGCCTAGAAATAATCCCAGGAATTTAGATTAAGCAGATTTTGAGATAATGCCATTCTTGATTGTCCTAATACATTTTAAAGGAATTATAATACATTCCAAGAAATTGTCCAGCATTCCTCAACTGAATTCCAACCTTTGGAACAGAGTAATAATAATCATGCTTTTTAATATGTATTCACATAAGACTTAAATGGAATTGTATGTATAAAATATGCAATTATGTAAGCTGAGTAGATGAAACACAATAGATATGCAAGAAAAAAGAGGTGATTTTCATCATCCATTATACACATGAATTGTGAAATTTGGGGAGCAGCAGAGAATTTGAAATATTCTGTTTGGCTTACACATGAGTGCTTGGGCAACAGGAGTGACTTATAGATAGTCTTATTATTTCCAAAGGGCAAAAGTATTCTCATAAGCTATTTATAAGTCCTTTGAAGTAGAATAATCCATATATGTAAAAAAGAAAGAGATTAGAAGTCAGCTTTTGTTAAACAAGTCAAGCTGGAACTCTCTTGACTCCTCAAAGCATGGCAGTAGGATTTCTTTGCATCCCTTTCATTACACCTAGCCAAAAAATCAGATGGTAAGGGAAGAGCATCCCTAGCAGTGGGAATAAAGTCTAAGGACAAAAACATCATAGAACTGAGTGTTGAGAAAGTGTTCCCCTTAATCTTTCCTTCTGATGAAGTCATGTCCCAATAGCTGTAGAAGGCTGCCTTCAATTGAAGGGGACTATGGACAGGTATTCCTTCTGCTTTATGCTGGGGACAGCATAGGAGAAGAAGGGGGAGGGTATTGGCAGAATCTGTCCTAATGCAGACACTTGGTCCTGTTTTAGATCAGTTAGTGAACACAACTCTCTTTAGACTGCCTATCTGAGGACACAGCCTCAAGGCTGAGGCCAGCAACAAAATTGTGTGTATGTGTATGTGTGTATGTGTGTGTGTGTGTGTGTGTGTGTGTTTACCATCATTCTTTCTGATAAGAGAAATGGAAGAGAGAGAGAGAGAGAGAGAGAGAACCAGAGAGTCTCAGTTTTCTCTTAAAAGAAAAAAAGAAAGAAGGAGAAAAAGAAAAAATTCCAAAAATAGAGATTTACTTTGGTTCAAAGGGTCAATATGTAGAGACATTGAGGCATAGGCAAAACTACCAGGCAAGCCTTATCTGTACAACTGTTAATAACTGATTTTTCTTAAAGAGCAGGCAAAATTCAGAGGGCTTAGCCTTGTCAGTGGTTCTCAAAAGAGTATTTCCTTGGACCACCAGCAGGATAGTGAATTAATTTTTGTAGGAGTGAAACAAACTAACTTTAAGGCAAAGAGACTAATGCCCAACCTGGTTCAGTGTAATGGATTTAGACCTGGATCTTGGGTCCTTACTAAGCTGCTGTTTAATTCTAAACAAGTTATTAGAATTTCTCTTTCTCCCTAATTCCATTTTCTTAAAATAGTAATGTATCAATTAAAATTATTTGGCTTTAAGGAAGAGAGAACTCAAATAAGACAGATGTAAAACATGAATCACTTGTTATTTATTTTAATTTTTTTTTAAAGTAAACTGTAAATGCATTGAAGAGGGACTGATGCAGTGAAGGGAGAGGGAGCGTGCTGGGGGAAGTGCTGGGGACTGAATTGGAGCAGGCTGTGTTCCATGCTTTTGTGATTATGTCAGGGTCTATCCTGAAGTTGTATATAACCAAACACAAAAAATAAATAATAAAAAATGAAACTTGTTGGACTGGGTATGTGGTTCAGTGGTAAAGTACCGACCTGGCATGCATGATGTCCTGAGTTTGATCCACAGCACTGCAACATAAATAATAGGTAAATAAAGAAATAAATTTTAAAATACAAAAGCTTATTAAGTGGGTAGTTCAAACTTACTCAGACACTCAGTGACATATTCAAGAACATTATTGTTATCATTGATTCATCCACTCAACAAATATTTCTTACTAGTAAACATCTATTCAATTTTTAAATGTTATTACTAACATTCATTATTTAGTATTTCTGTTAATATTTTTTCTTCTGTGCATATAAAAATAAGTCTGATATATCACTGAAAGGGAGATTAAGACATAAAAATATATGAACTTTATAAATATGCCACTGAATTCTATAAAACATTTACCCTTGCTGAATCTGTATGGCTCATATTTAGACCCCTTTAAATTTTAGATACCATGACTCTCCATTGCTGTGGATGATGCTCAAGATTATGTTTCACCARTAACTTTTCTCAATGCCTTTTTCTGGTGTAGGTGACAGATCATGCAGATGGTAAACATGTCATTGTCCAATTTCATGAATGGCAGGCCGGAACTGGACTGATTCTTTCTCGAGCCAGGAAACTCCCTATTGCCACAATATTTACAACCCATGCCACACTACTTGGGAGGTATCTCTGTGCTGCAAATATTGATTTTTACAACCATCTTGATAAGGTAAATAGTCCTTCCACTTCTCCCCATCTACATTTCTTCAGATCACTGAAGATGAGGGATGAAAAGCATTGACCTTTATATTTCATCTGCCAACCAGATGGCAGAAATGCCCTTTTAGTTAATCAATATTCATGAGAAGGTCTCCCCTGGGGTGACAGAGAGCTGATGTAGCTTAACTTTGCTCAGAGTGCAATGGAGTGTGGAGGTGTAAGACCTGATTTCTGTCCCACTTGRGAGCAGCAGATCCACAGAGGCATGGTAAAGAGTGACACACTGTGTRAACCCAAGACCGGCCTCTTGTTCCTTCCTGTAGCTTGGAAAATGCTGTGAAGATAGATGCTGGATTCACATACAGCTCTGAGTGCAGGTAGAGAAAGGGATTCTAGGTGCACTACAAGCCTTATTTCCTCTAACTTCTCACAGAACAATTTATTGGAAACACATTATAAGTTGATAGGTGAGATTTTTTTTCTGTAACTCTGAAATGCATAGGTGGGATTCTTGGGATTCAAGTAGGACAGAAGTTATAGAAAACAGGAATGTGGGTTGTTACATGATCAAATAATTATGTTTGCTCATTTTAAGAAATGACCCAATTTCATGATACAAAGTCCTTCAGTTTTGATTTCTTTCTTTCATTTTCCATCAATTAAATTAGAATAATAAAAACACATATTTTATATTATTGGGTCAGCAATATTAATAAGGCATTTGTGTACCATAAATTAAGAGATTTTGCAGATTTGCAGTCTATATTACCAATCAAATGGATTTAGGGTTTTAAGGTTCAGTTTCAAAATCAGGAAAATTAGGAATTTGGAAAGTTACTACCCAAAGTCTTTTTTCAGTTTAAAAATTCTAGAATTCTATGAAACAGTATGTGTGGGGGTGGAGAGTGGGTGTATACATACGCGTGCATGCACATGGGTGCGTATTCCATGAATAACATTCAGAAAACGGTACTAGAAAGTTATACCACTAGCTCAAACACACTTTGAGAGCAAGCAAGTTCTTTCTGAAAAAATTTAACGTTTGCAAAGCAGTGAGAGGCCCTAATGAGATTCACCCTATAAAAAGATCAGCCCAACCTAAAGGTCAGATTACAAGGATCAGGTGTACATTTGAGATAGTTACTGAGGAATTCAGACAACCAGGAGCTCAGGGAAACATCCTAATGGTGTATGAGAAGGGTGGACTGATAAGGGCAAACCAGTGATCTGTGATGAGCTCATCAGCAATGCTTCCCAGAGAAGAGCAGCCTTTGCTCTTTCTAAAAGAGAAAATAATAGGTTGGCATATTGAATATTTCACTCCAGAGGACTTAAGAATATTATATAGTAGCAAGTAACTAATAAAAAACTAGTAACATACATTGGATGGTCTATTTTTAAGGAGCAAATATATTGTAGTAATTAACTTTATCTTTTTGATAATGTTATCCTTTATTTCATATTATCTTCAAATATGATATCTCACTATACATATGTACATATATGCATAAAATATCAATTTCAAGCTCCTCTCTATTAGGTATATAAGCTTAGTCATACCCCAGTCCAGCTTTCTAGGAGATTCTTCTGCCAAGACAAGAAGATAAAAAGTAGACAAAATTTAGATTTTGAGTTAAATTCTTAATCATTTTTCACAACAGAACCCCCTCCCCCCCATATTCACATTAGGTTTAGAATTTGGGTGGRTGATATAAATAAAACACTGGTTACATACATGAAATTTTTTAAAAGTTCAAAATAGGAAATGAGTCATAATTCAGTCTTAATGCAAATTACATATCAACTCAGGATCACTTTCAGTAAGTTTTTTTTTTT